TTGGGGCTGAGATAAGAAAATGTATTACTATGTGCCGGAAATGGCACTCACAGACTTCAAATTGTGAATATAATTTTCTTTTTATCTCCATTTTAATTTTTTTTTTTTGATAAATTTGGTGGGGTCCCGGGCCTAGAGGGGGGCCCGACGGGCCCCTTCTCTTTAATCATTATAATATAATATGCCCTACAGTCGATTTCAGAGACACATTATGGTTTTATTTATCAACAAATTCCTTTTGGTCAGGGTGCTATATCGAGGCCCCCTAGAATTCGGGGGCCCTGCAGACCACCGCATAAGAGCACATAGGTGTTACACCACTGGAACACCTGTTGGCAATTGATATGCTAGTAATTAATTTTTAGAAAGTCTCCAATTTGGGAAACTAGTTCAGACAACATCAAACGAAATTTAAAGTTCCACCAACACTCAATAGGGAAACCCATTATACCCTGTCTCTTATACACATCTAGATGTGTATAAGAGACAGTTGCCACACAGTACAAAATCAGTTTTCCGAAAAAAGCACTTGGTATGCACTGGTGGTTCCCCCATTTTGCAAGAGAAGTCCCCTTAACCCTGTACGGCTACCTTGACATTGCCACTGGATCCCCTTGTTGGACCGCTTAGCTTCTTATTCTTAAATGCTGCACCGTATTTGAAAATTATACTAAACTTGTGGCATTACCATACCCTGATGTTTTATTTATGCGCATATAATTATGTCATCCATGTTTGCCTGTTGGAAATTAAAACATTCTGACTGGCCATCGTGCATTAACTTGTTACTGAGCTCGCTGGTGGATAGAGGGAAGATGTGAGATTAGTGACGGATTCAAAGAAGCCCCCTTCCACAAAATTTTTAAAAATAAAAAAAAAAAAAAAAAAAAAAAAAAAGTATGTATATAAAAAATATAAAAATAAATTTAAAAAAAAAAATAAAATATTCAGTTTTGAATCTTATTTAAAATTTAAAAGAAAAAAAATGAAGACAAATTGCATTAAAAAATAGATATATTAAATAAGCATTAAGAGGCCTATAGAACTAGAATTTTCTATAACGGGTGTTTCCTATGAGAGTGACAGGTACAGTGATGCACTGTAGGTGCCTAGTGGGGGCTTTTGCCCCTTCCTCCCAGCTTAAGACTGCTAGTAGTATATAAATGTGGCAAAGACAAGCCAAACCAGTCACTCGTCGCAAAAATCGATTATGAGTTATTAATACAGTGTTAAAGAGTAAAATAATAGCTATAAAATGGTAAAAAAATTATTCAAATCGGACGTTTCCTTATGAAGTTACAAGCATTTGACCACACAGCTGTTTAAAGAATAATATATGAGAAATCAGCCATTTTCAAGCATTTCTCATGCACAAACTAGCTTTAAATCCTTAAATAACAGCATAGGATGGTGTGTAGATACATAAAAGTTAATTTAGTGCAATAAAATAGATATTTAAAAAATCGACATTCCAACATGTTTTGGCCATTTTCTCTGAAACACGATTTGCGACGAGTGACTGGTTTGGCTTGTTTGTGCCACAAATGGTAAATTTCTTCATCTTTTTGATAAGGAAGGAGGTTGTTTATTTTATCAGAGGGAAGTTTGCTTAAAAAGCATGTTATGGGCCCAGAAAGCAATCCTATTATTGATAGCCAATGATGGAAATAGCCTATTACAAGGTTAAAAATATACTTTTTTAAAAGTGGGAGTATATCTCTTCCTCTTTATTGCATACAAAAGAACAAAAAGAATACAGGTATTGTAGTATGCAGTAAGATCCAAGAAAAATAGCC